TAGTATAGTATAGTATAGTATAGTATAGTATAGTATAGTATAGTATAGTATAGTATAGTATAGTATAGTATAGTATAGGGAGATACACAGGGAGAGGACACATAGGGGCAATGCAGTGCAAGCCCATGCCACCCACTATTCCAGGCAGTGACTAAGGTCTCAGTCAAACTTCCCACCTCAGGGAAAATCCCCAAATCCCAAACTTTCTCTGGAATTGAACAGGGTTCATAAATGTAGAGAGAAGGAAGATGACCTTGATGGAGATATGCAGGTACCATTACCTAGGCAAAGGGGGCTGAAGCATTTTTAAAGTCCAGAATGAAATAATATTCAGAAGTGGCTCAGACAGATGCTTCCCTAATTCATTGAACTATAAGAAGGAGGAGGAATACAGCACAATCAGATTTGCAAGTTTCTTTTATTATAGCCAATCTCAATAAAGGTAGTTTTAGTCTTCCTGGGGAGTTGATTTCCTGGTCTGGTTTACCTAATGGGGCTGACATCAATAATGGTTCACTTAATTAAGGAGGCATCTGCCTGAGCTGCTTCCAAATATTATTTGGTTTTGGATTTTAAAAATGCTTTAGCCCCTTCTGCCTAGGCAACAGTTTCTGCATATCTCAGTCAAGGTAATCTTTCTTACGCTCTCCACAAGTCATCTGGGGTGGGCCAAAGAAAAAGGCCCTCTCCCTCCCTCCCTCCCTCCCTCTGTGTGTGTGTGAGAGAGAGAGAGAGAGACAGAGAGAGACAGAGAGAGAGAGAGAGATGTAAGTTCAGAGAGTCATCTGTCCACAGCAATAGACTGATGGCAGTGTCCTTCAATACCAATCATGTCACAACTGCCCTGAGACAAAAACCAGATCTAGAGTGCAACCACCGGGTGTGTGTCATGCCTTCAGTGATTTGGGACAGATCCATGGTTGACATGGAGGCCATGCATTCCTGAGCTGCCCTGGACTCAACGTCACCAGGTGGCAAATTGAAATTCCTGAGAACTAACAACCTCAGGGTCTCTATTGTCAGTCCAGCCATGGAATCCAGCAGATCAGGCAGGGAAGATGCTAGGCAGCAGGGAGGGCTGTACAACAGCAACAATTACAACTGTTTCCTACAGCCCAATTCACATATGCAGAATTTCTGAAAGCTCTTAGTTCAGTGTTTTTCAAACCTGGCAACTTTAAAAAGTGTTTCTGGCTGGGAAATTTTGGGAGCTGAAGTCCACACACCTTAAAGTTGCCAAGTTTGAAAAACACTGCATTAATGACTTTATGGATCATAACAGCTACCACATCCTCCCCTCCCCTGGAGCCTTGGCTGATGCAAAACTCAGAACTTGGGTGGACAGAGTTCTAAGAGGGGACACTGCCCACCCCGAGCTCTTAGTTATGCATATCAGGTCAGTGTCCTCATCCACCATAAGGGCATATTTATTATAAACCCGCATGGCATTCAAAAATAGTAGCCAAAGGTCAGGGCCCCCATGGATTCAGTAATCAAGCATTAAAGATGGAAACTGAGGGCTGGACAAAGGGACCATTCTTTAACAGCAGACCCAATTTCCCTGACTGCAGCTTGTCCTCAGGTTCTGGCTATACCTACTCCTGCCCATCACCATCCAAAGGTTCCTGCCTGCTTTCCTATCTCCCCCTTAGCCCTTCCCACTCCTAGCTTCTGCCTCCAAGGCCAAGATATACAGTCCCTCACCCCACACTCCCCCTATCACTCACAGCACACCTACAGTCACCCCAATGCCTGTATAGCACCTCCAGAGCTCTGCCTTGTTAGGCTGTTATACTGGCACCCATGCCCATGTGCCTTTCTTCTCCTCAAAACGTATTACGAGAATTTAAAGTATAATTTCCTCAAAAAAGTAAAAAATGCAGAAAAAATAAATATAGAAACCATATTTGCTCAAACACACAGCACAAACTTTAGGTATAAAATACTGTGTAGATTAGGCAATGAATTTATCAGTTAGTTAGTTAGTTAGTTAGTACTTCCCAGAATTTAATATATATTTGCTTATATTGTGCCAATATATTACTATTCAGCATTTTAATATTTTTTTTCAAAGTACAAACCATATATACTTGCATATAAGCCCATCTGCGGATAAGCCAACTCTTGAATTTTTAACCAAAATACCATTAAAAAATGTGCCAGTGAAATTTTAGGACTGGGATAGATGAGAGGTAAGAGGCTGGCAGATACCCACTTGAAAAGACATGATGCTGTAAGGCCTGGAACCAAACCCAAAAATCAGGGTCCCAAATATGGCATGTAAGGATACTTCGGGCATTTTCAAAGCTTTTGGGACAACGTTTTTCTAATGAGGGTCCTATGGATTTTCAATATTTTCAATATTTTTTTTTAACCAGGTTGTCTACAAGTAGTCTCTAAGAATCAGTGGGACTAGACCCACTGGGACAAAAGATAACTTTAGTCAAAGGTTGAAAAGATTACACCAAGGTCTAGCATCCAGCAGAGACCAAGCCTGTCTCTAAACAATGTGCAGCTTTCTTAATGCATCTTGGAACTGGAAGCACAGCTCTAATAAACTGAGTGAATAGCATCAAGGATGTTAAGATTTCTAGAAAAATACAGACTTGGGCACCATGGCTATAAGGCCCTTGCAAGCTGCAGGGACAGAGCAAACTCCTTTCCAATAGAAACGTCTCAGGTTAGCTGATAGTATAGTTTCCCTGCAAGTCTTCCCTGTCCAATATGGGGAGAGAAGTGGACAGAATGGATCTAAGATATGCCTTCTCCATTCTTGGGTTATTCAAATGGCTGAGTTGCATTTATTTATAAATAAGATCACTGCACCAGTAACCCTAGCTTCTTAAATTTCAGAGCTCGTACATTCCCTTTTTAGTTGGACAAGTGTTTTCCTTTAAATCCACAGAACGTATTTCCAAACTAATGTACAGTATAGTGTAATTATGCACAATATTTGATTATGCTATTAAGAAACAGTTACTGTTTTCTATATGAAAAACCTAATAGGGTTGCATTTTGCTATTCAAAGACATTACTTTTTATATCCTTGAGGTGGCAGAAGACACTACATTATAAAATCATAGTAAATCTTCTAGCCTTAGAAAACTTGGAATATCTCAATGTACTGAAATGTATCCAGAGTAAGTTAGTCATCATGTCTAATTTAAGTTCATCTGACTTCAGTGGGTTCACTAAAAATCTTTAATTTATTTCACATCTGTGACATTTGAAACTGAGACAAATTACGGTCAAATTTTAGTTTTCCTCACATTTAGAAAGACAAACATGATTGTCTTTCTAAATTATATATAAAATGATTTTGGTTTGCTTTATTATGTATATAAACAAAAACCTGGGCAATCTAAACCCAGAAAAGGGTTAGTGTGATATTACTTTCTACTTATTTTCTTTGTGTTCAAATCGTACTTTGATGCCAAATTAATAAAGATTAATCTAGCCCTTATAATATTTATCTTTATTTCATAGTGCTCAAGGAGGTGAATATACATTCTAAGACAGTTTCCCATTCAGAAATTCACAAACCCAGACTAATTTAACTCCAACAAAACATTTTTAGACAAACCTTCAGTTACAGATAATATTATAGATAAGGCATAATGACATATTCTAATACTTAAAATGAACTATATAAATGGTAAATACTGTTGATGACCAAATCCCTTTGGTATTAATAAATTCTTGTAAGCAAAAATGCAGAGTGAATGAGAAGAGGACAATAGAATCAGATATGATTTATAACACAGGAAATTATTTTATACTATGTCAAACTATATTACTATCTAGTTCAATACTCTCTGCTCTAGATTTGCAGAGTTTAATCCATCATCTGGCTTTTGGTTATGCTGTTGTTCCTGAAAATTTCTGAATGTAAAATTTGTGTTCTATCATCTATATGGTCCCTCCTCAATTTTAAGAGACTAAAATTGAAGAATGTAAAATTGAATAATGGCAATAATAATTTTCATGTTAAACCAAATTGTAATATAGTTGGAGTCAATTACAAATTAATTTCTGAATTATAAAACACAAAAAAACTATTATGTAGCTGCATAATAAACTGAAAACATAGAATAAACTCTTCTCTGTATTATAGATCTTGATTCCTAATGCCCTTTCTTCTTCCTTCACAGAATATAAAACATTTCTTTTAATTTTAGATAATAAAGACACAATTATTAACAGTTCTATTTTTTAGATCTTTATTGATGAGATTTATGAACAGTTCTGTCATAGTGATCTGCCTGTAATCTGAAACTGTTCATAACTATGGAAGTTCAACACTTATTTATCCTTTCTACCAATTCACTGATCTAGGTTTTTGTTATTTCTCTTTTTTTCTTTTCTGTCAGCTATCTGCATTAGCTTCCATTTTAAGATAACAGTGTGAATTACTATTTAATTTCCTGAGTAGCAGGCATTTAATTGGCAGCTGATTGGTTTCCATGTCATTCCTTGTTACTAAGGAGTGTTACTTGTGTTACTAATGACACCTCCATTGCTTCACCTCCTCAATTCCTGAGAACATCAATCGGCTGACTAATAGGAACTCCATTCAGCTAAGCATTAGGAGTGCAAGAAGCAGCACTCGATCAATGCTCTCTTCCAAATTACATGAGGTTCTGATGTTTCAAAAAGCTCCTACCCTCACTTCACACAAATAGTTGTCAACCCCCCATTTTTGTTCATTAAATTGAGCAGCTCCTGTGGGGAGGGAAAATTGCTAAAAGTTGTCATCATAAGCCTTGCAGTAAGGATTTGGGGTGAAGCAAGAGTTTTTGCCAAAGGGAAAAATGCCTGTTCACAATTTCTGCACAGCATCAGCATTTCAGTGGAAAGACTGTTTTTAGTGAGATTTTTAAATACATTGCAGTAAGGCAGCTATGCTCGGAACAGTCAGTAATAAAAGGAAACAAGGCTGCCAGACGCCATCAAAGCCGACACCAACCAGAGCATAAAACAACTGAAAAAAGCTTACAAGATTGGAAAATGTGGAGAGAGAGCTGGTCCACAGAATCGCTGAGAATCAGACACGATTGAACAGATAGCATCATCATCAAACCAGAAATAAATTAAAGCCTTGCTGATCATGAGTAGGTACAGAGTTAGTTTCTGGTTCAAAGACTGTAGAATTGCTTGAGTCTAATACTTCAAAATGTAGGTTATTAACCATTGTCATGAAAAGTTCTCATAACTTTATCTATGGTACTGCAATTTTTTATAAATCAATGGTGGCTTTTAGTTAGATTTAACAAGCCTGTAAGTGGCTTTTTGTGAGATTCTTAGGTACTGAGTTACTGTTGGCATGGACTGACTTCCATACAATGGTAGGGTTCTAGCAGTAGACCTACAGTCTTCCACTGTTTTCAGAAACAGAACAAACACAACACTGAAAATTATTTAAAAATAGGACTGACATTATACCGTGAGCTAAGGGAGTGTTCCCCAGCTGGATGCTTTCTAGATACTGGGAAATCCACCACATTGAAAGGGTAGCAGACTGGGGAAGCCTGTCATAAAACTCATGATATGTGAAAAAAACCTGTGATCTTTTGTGTTATTTGCATACATTTATGTCTGTATATTTTGAAAAATTTATTTAATGTTAGACACTGCTCTTAACTCTGATATGCATGTACCCCAAAATGTAGCGGCAGTAAATAAATAAATATACAAGTAATATTTTATCTGTAATGTTTGTATACATTACATTCACAAGCATGGTTTACTTACTGTATATTTCCCCAGTCAGATCTGTTTTTCAGGATAAGGATAGGTGCTTTATTTGTGGACAGACTCATGACAACATCTTCAATAACATTTTCTATTGCTCTCAGTACCTCGGAGCTGAAAGAAGTTACAGTATATAATTTCACACAGATTGTATACCAGTTTCAAAGTTTCCAAAAATATTTTGCATTATTGCCTTTTAACTATATTTTTTTTGAGATTTCTGAAGATTCTAGAAACATTTCACTGTACTTTGTCTTGCTTTCAGTAGTAGAAATCAGTTCATATGTTTAAGCTTCAGCCTTCAGAAGTGCATTTCTAGCTAGTCCTCACAAGATTTTTTTCATCAAGCCAAATATTTGGATCAACTGATTTAAAACAACTATGATGAATGTTTTTAAATCATATGATGTAATATTAGCTTTGGCCAGAGTTTGACTTAACTTGTTTTTAAATGCTGTAAACTTAAAAAAAAAAAAGTTCAAGGGTATAATATAAGTACTTCCTCTCTACCATAGCACATTAACCTTTTGATCTGACATTTTGAATGAGTGCCTGTGGTTTTTAATTATATGAAGGTTTTGGCTGGATAACAACATTGTGTGTGTGGCAGGGGGAAGTTAAATGTGTCATGAACTGAAGTAAGTACATTAGTATTGCTCTGTGTGTGTGTGTAAATGTGTGTAAGTGTGTATGTATTTCTGTGTGGTGTGCATGCGTGCGTGTATGTGTGTGTGTGTGTGTATATATATATACACACACACACA